CCAAGTAAACGGATGCATTGCAGACGTATTTGGTCTCTAAATCCGTGGCCATCCAGAACTTCATCCCAAATTTGTCCGGCATGGATGCGTTATACTGCGTGAATGGACAACGAACCTTGGTAGGGAACAGCCGTTCATCTATGGTCATGTGTTCTCCTGGAGTGAAACTCTCAGCACTGTTCTTGGTGAAGCGTGTCCAGATGTCAGAGATCGCAGCAAATTTGTCTGTTTTCACCATTCTGCCCACGTGTCCTTGTCATCAAATCGAAGGTGTTGCATAATTGAAAGGAATCTACCTCGGGACATTGTCTCTTTGATTACTGGCACCAGAAAGCTTTCTGACCAGCTATCCACAATGGCACCAACAGGACACATGATTGCTCTCACAAACAGAATAAACCTAAATCAGTGAACTAAATCACTTATTCAACAGGTTTCATTCATCTGCCCCTGACTTTCCACCCATACTGCCCTCACTCATGCAGTCCCCAACATCTGCTACAGACACCCCTACCCCCACCTCTGTTCCACATCAGACACTTCACAAGTGTTGCAGGAGACTCTGACAGCACTGAGCAGCTCCTTCAGTGGCAGGCTCCTGCATCCACAATGTGGGAAGGAGAGATTCAGAAGGTCTTTCCTTCCAATCGCTGTCAGACTCTACAACAAAGTCCTTGAAACTGGCCCCACACACATATATCCACTCTGTACATAATATACATACACTCTATTTATACATACGTATATTTATCTGTTTACATATACACACACACACACACACACATATATATATATATATATTTTTTTTTTTTTCTTTTTTCAATACACTCATCCATATTTATGTTCCCAGATTGTTTGTATAGTGCACTTTTTATACTGTACTGTTGGTACAGTTTTTATTCTATTATTTTTAATTTTGCTACTCTTGTCTTGCACTGTCCACTTTTCTGCCGTGATGATGCAATTTTCCACTTGTGGGACTAATAAAGATAGATTTGCTGCAATCTCTGACATTTGGACACACTTCACTAAGAACTGTGCTGAGAGTTTCACTCCAGGAGAACACATGACCATAGACGAACAGCTGTTCCCGATCAAGTTCTGGATGGCCACGGATTTGGAGACCAAATACATCTGCAACGTGTCCCCTTACTTGGGAAAGGACCCCAGTCGTCAGAAGGGGGAGAGGTTGTCAGAGAACGTGGTCATGAGTCTGATGGAGCCATTTCTGGACAACGGGAGAAATATCATAATAATATCATAATTTCTTCACCTCACTGTCACAGTCACACAGACTGCTTCACTTTACTGGGCACGGTGAATAAAGTTTGCCATGAACTTCCTCCATTGGCAAAGGACACTGCACAGGGAGAGGAATTCTCCACGTCACTGTTTAGAATGGCGCGCATGTATTCAGTATGAGCAGCAACACGCAGGTGGCCAGTAGCTGTATTATACAACATGCTGGACCTGGTGGCGGTGAATGCCTGCGTTCTGTACAAGGCATGTACAGGGTGGAAAGGAAAAAGAAGATTGTTTCTGATTCTTCTAGCCAAGGAACTGAATTGCCGAATGCAGGGACGATGGTCACTGGGTCTGCAAACGCTGCAAACACAGACTTTGAAACAGACAGACAGACTGTGTGGGAGAGTAACCACTGAGACAAAAGGCAGAAAGATGACGAAGAGATGAACCTGGAACTGAGGGACGGATAAATTTTTTTTTTCCATTTTTTAAAAATTTTTGCTATTTTTACATGAACAGCCAAACATGCTAATCTGGAGAGATCGCACAAAAACAAAATTCACTTTTGGTGTTATAATTCAGTGATGGCCTATGAAAATGAAATGACATCATTTTATTCTGTATGTGTACGAGCATGTCAAAACCATGGACCATGACTTCACTCAGCTTATGACATTTGTGTACAAACATACATTGGAGACTAAAATGTTAGCATGTTTTCATTTTATTCATTTCATTCTATTAGCAACTTTTCATTTTTTCACTCAATTTTTTTTATAAATAAAACAGACTTGTGTTTCCATATATTTTGTGAATGTGTGTCTTTCATATTTGCAGGTCAGTCAGTGTGTGGGATATTCTGTATAGATATAGCAGGTGTTTGTGAAGGTTTCCATGTCACACACAGAAGTTTGGCCTGCCTTGGATTTGAGCTAGTCTGAGTAAACAAATGCAAATGTGCCAGGCCTCACAGGTAATGGGTATGTTTGCACAACAAAAGACCTGCGAAAATCTTGGGACTTTCACCAAAAAAATTAAAACTTGGTAAATCTAGTGTTATGACATACAGTAAAATCCTGTTATAGCGGACTCGCATATCACAGAATTTCGCTTATAATGGACAAACAATTTGGGCCCCAGGGCTGCTTTTATCTGTAGTTTTGTTTAGCTACAGTATAATGGACATGCATCCAAGGCGCGTGGCATGCCGGTGATATCCAGTGCAGATACGTAGTCGGGATTATTAATAGTCACGCATCTGGTCAGGTAAAGTTGGATTACCACATGTACAATATAATAATCTATACCACAAGTGTGTCTGTGGGGTGTGGCATGAGTAAATGGTGTCCTGTATTGGGCATACAGCAACTCTGGATATAACGGACTTTGGATATAAGGGACTGTTTGGTCAGGTCCCTTGAAGTCCGTTATAACTGGATTTTACTGTATTAAATAATAATTAATCTAACAAATAGGAAATGAAACGCTGCATTCAGTAAATACAATGAACAGTACTTCCGCGTTTAATTTGTCGGCCACTTTTTGCCTGCCGTCTTTTCTGGTTTGGGCAGTTTTTGCCGTGTTACCCCTTGTGCATATTAGTTCTTGAAATTATTCATATCCTTCTAATAGGAAGTCCTGCTCCACTTGTGTGAAAAGGTGCACCCTTCCTTTCGTCATTTTGTTGCAGCCTATCAAAGACTTGCTGATCAGGTTTTCTAGACTCAATATACAGTATATGGGCTTTTCAAGCAGCACAGGCGTGCGCAATCATCTCGGATGAATGGATCCAGCTAGACTAATCTTCTACACAGCTGCGTTTGAAAAACTGACTTATCCCGGATGACTTTCACTGGCATTAACTCATCCAGGATGAGGCATCTGATCTCGGATGATTTAAGAAACGTACGGAAAATACCCCCGTAGTCTGTTTTTGTTTTATTAGTGTTTCTAGTGTTTTTCTGTTTTCATGAATAAACCCCTTCTGTTCCCGTAAGCCGCAAGTGCACATTTCTGTTCCCCACCTGCATGATGCCTTGTCCTCGTGCCAAAGCCGCCCAGATCCCTGACAAATGTAACTATCAATGCTATTTTTTTTTTCATTTCTTCTGTTTCCCCTAGGGGAAGTATGCCTGTTGAAATCAATCAATAAATCAATCCATCCATCTTTTCATGTCCTTTTGTTCCATTTGTAAAAATTACTGTGAATCCCCCTGAAGTGCTCTGTAAAAAAACTTGTTTGTAAAAAATTTTATCCATTCATTCATCCATCTTCCCACCATTATGAAGAAAAATGTTAAATGCTTAAGTTTGATTGATTGATATAGAATGTTACAATCTGCCTGATCTCATAAGTATAGTCATTTCATGTCAGTGACATTTACTGCAGCCATGTATCTGACCTGCATGAGAACAACAAAGTCATTTTGACATGCCACAGTTGTCTTGTGTCTGACCCTCATAAGTACTGGCAATTGATGTGAATCAAGTTTATCCATATTATTTCCTGGATGGATGGATATACTTTATTGACCCCAAGTATGCGATTCTGGATTACAAATGTCCACAGATTAACAAATTTTTATATGCTGAATTCTTTCCTCGAAAGACATTAAGAAATGTCTCATTCATCCTTTTTCCGTAATCATTTAGCCAATGGACAGTTTAAAAGGGATGCCAATCCATTACAGGGCACATATATGCACACCCAAGCTATGGCCAGAGCTATAAAGGAGGAATCCCTCATGAATATGGTGAAAGGCATGCAAATTCAAAGTCAAACCCACAACACGGGAGGTATCAGACTAAAATATGACCCACTGAGCCACAATTCTGCCCTCATGTAATTTTTAAAAATGCATGGCACCCATTACTTAGAAAGAAAACCATGCAGAGGAAATAAGCCTTCCTTTATAATAATGTTTATTTCAGAGCATGTGTACTTTAGTGTGTGCATTTATGTTCATGTACACCACCCCCAATCCTAATTAGTTATATAAAATCAGTGAATTTTATTTGTTTTGCCAGCAGGACAGCATTATAGACTGGAATTCCTGGACTAAGAATATAATGCAATTTTAGATTGAGTAACACCATGTTTTATAAAAGGTTTATTGAAAAAACTCTTGCTTCTTAGACTGAAGCACATACTAGGGCAATCGTCCAATCAATGTTCATAAAACATAGCTGTGATTCAATGCCTTACACACAGAAATACTAATGTTTCTATATACTAAAATATGTTTTTTTTAATTAAGTATTTTAAAAGTATTTTAGAAATAGGAATCATAAATTTGACATTGAAATTAGATTTTTTTATGTGACATACCGATCCTTTCTGTCTAGGGTGAAGACAAAAGAACATAAAGAATCAAAAGTAATCCAGGAGCACCTTGTTTCACAGCATTTTTCACTAGGGATTGTGTTATTGTCATTCAATAAAAGACAACACTAAAATATATGGTAACATAATAGTACGATTATAGGATTAGCTTTCTATAGTAATATTTGGCACTGGAATTGCCTTTTGACCAAACTACAAATTTAAATGTAGTTACATTTCCATTTTGGGCTGGTTACCTTTACAAACACATGCAATTTTTGGTTCACATGTGAAATCAGTTCAAAATACTTCTTGATTTAAATAATTTCAGTTATATAAAATGCAGTGAAATGGTGCTCCTGTAAAATATAATAAAGAAAACAATTTTCTGTAATAATGCATGTGTAATTTTGATGTTCTGGAGACACAGCAGCACATTTCACTTCATATTTATTATATGGTACTTGAATTTCAGGCAGTATATAATCCCCCAGTTACGACAAACAAAAAATAAGTATTATTTAAGGCGATATCAGAGCTCACAGCTTGCTTGTTGTGATAGATACTTCATTTGGAAAGAGTGGACAATCATTTTCTCTCTTACACACACAAACTCATAAAAGATGCTTTGTAAAATGGACATAGAGATGTGATCTGGTATGTGATCTGGTGTTCTGTATATAACTGAAAGCAATTTCACTAATTCCAGTTGTTGACTCATTCACAGTACGAACTGGTTGCTCTTCTGATTTCAACTGCCTCTCCGACCTGGGGTCTCTATCAATTAACCTGCTGTATCCAAGCAACAAGAAGGTGACCTGCAGGGCTGTATATGATTACGTTCAAATCCATCTAAAAATTTTTTTGCTGTCCATCTTTACACTGCATAAAAAACTTTAGCCCCTTATGAGGATAACGATACTTAAAATCACATAATTTTTTCCACTAATAAATTTAAGGTTTAGTTATAGCAAAATGATAGGCTCTTTTTCATAGAAGGGTGACCACTGGAACTCTGTTACAATTTGTTGTTGACAGAGTCTTTGGTGCCATAGAGATCGGCTAATTTTTTGAATGGTGGTCCCCAGATTTGGAGGTAGTCATAGTTCAGGTCTGAGTCGTTCATGGTGGTTTCCAGGGAGCTTAGGGAGCCAGCGACAGAGCCCTGGCCCTCATAACCATACACCTGGATGGAGTCATACGGCGGGGCATTGGGGTCATTGTCGACATCACAGAGGTGGTTCCTGATGAAGCAGTTTACATCTACGTTGCTAGTCGCCTGCTCCGGCCTCTGTTGAACTGGGTACTGCAGCTCTGGTTTCATGTCCTTCCGAGGCAGGAAACCATTGGCCCCATCAGGGTTCTGTAGTGTAGCGATGTCAAAGGCCTCAGTGTCGGCCTCGCCACCACCCTCGTCGTCGTACGTAATGATGTTTTCCCGAATGTCCTCTTCCTTAAATACCATGAGGGGCTCATTCTTCTGCCTGTGCAGCGCCACAAATAAAACTACAATGGCTGCAACAACAGAGGAGGAGGTATCAATTTCTGTTTCCTAATTCTGAAAAGAATGATCCTGTGAGACTTAAGTGCAGCAAACTGTCCTAAAGTGTCGACAGTGACTGCATGATGAGACAAATTCTTTTTATTTTCTTCAGACCAAGACACAGCCTCATTTGGGCAGTAAAGTTGATCCTATAGAAATTCTGTACCTTCCCACATCAGACATTCTGAAAACTGGAGGTGTCAACTGGAGGTATACTACTGTAGGGGCTCAATCAACCTGGGGTGCGTTTCTCGAAACCATCGTTGCTAACTACGTTAGCAACTTCCGTCGTTCGAACTATGTAAGTACGACACAAGTGTTTCTCGAAACCATAGTTCAAACTACATAGGTAACGATACTGCGGACTTACGTGGTACGATGCATCGTTAAACGACGCAGGTGTTATTCGTCAGCGATGTTGGAAAATGCAGTTTAATAAGGGTATGGTCACCGTGTAAGTAAGAAATGTAATAATGTTTAATACATAATAAAGAATAATTTAGCCTTACGATCACATATAATGTTAAGTTGTCTGAAAATGTAGTTTGAAACGTAATTGTTGTGTGGGTCTCTGGTCATAAGTACGGTAACTGTCTAGTGAGCAACAGGGACAAATCTCAGACTGTAAAGTATTGATTAGCACAGGGGTGGCTAATTTTATCCAGAAAGGGCCGTTAGGCACGAAGCTTTTCGCTGCAACTCCGTGCTTAAAGCAAAACGTAAGAGGACCGATCGACTGAAGAGGTCGCACAACTGGGTTTGAGCAACTGATCGAACTGTTATCCCAAAAAAACCTGCAAACACACCGGCCCTTTCTGAATAAGATTGCCCACCCCTGTAGTGGCATATGCAGTTACTGTGTATTGCTTGGTATATTGTTGTGTACCATATGGTACACTTCACCATATTTCATATGGTATACTTCGCCATATTTATTATTTCTTGCCAAAAACGAGAAATAATAATAATAAAAACATTAATAAAATAAAAAGAAAATAATAAAACCCAATAATAATAATAATAATAATAATAAATCATTATCCCTTGTATGTGTATACATGTGTGTATTTGTAGCCCTATGCAGACCATTGGGTGTTGTGCAGTTTCTTCATTACACACATAACTTAAGAGGGACAACAGTCACCTTAGAAAAGAGTACAGCATTTTGATGAAGTACTCCTTATTCACTGACAGCTGTCATTGCCATAATGGAAGAGTAGAATGACACTACAGCGGTCAGATACGAATCCATGCCTTTGTACTCTGGAAATTACGTCTGTAATGTCTGGATATTACATGCACCTGTATATTCCAGTCAGCCGCTAACATTCTGTAAGTGACAATGTCGGACCAGGAATTTGTAAGTGGTCGTAGTGTGACTGAAACACAATAAACTGCAATCAACATAATTGCAGATGGAGCGTCTTTCAAAAAATGCAGTGTCATAGCTAAAAGTTCTTCTGTTTATCACTCCAAGAAGCGTCGCATTATTTTTGCGCGATTGCTAATTTTCATATTATTGGCGTTATGTGACTGACAGAAATTGATGACACAAAAAAATATATGTGTGTGTGTGTGATTATTATATATTTTACACAGTTCGCGAGTTTTTGTACCCAACCGGCTGTGAAAGTACGTGAAAGTACTTTGTTAGTTGTTGCGCACGACTTGCCGTGAGTCTGACCAATCAGCGCTGTAACCATTGTATTTCAAACTACGGTAGGTTCGCCGTGCGTCTGACCAATCAGCGCTGGAACCACTGTAGTTCCAACTACGGAAGTCCTAACTAACTGACGTGGTTCATACTACTGTGGTACGACGGTTTCAGGAAACAGTCGTTGTTTGGATGTTGGTTAGTTTGAACTACCATAGTACGATGCATCGTTAATGCTAACTTCCGTCGTTGTTCGAGAAACGCACCCCTGGCCAGTTTATCCAGAATGACCACACCAAGCCAAAGTCAATCTGGGGTCCAAACTGGAATATTACACACAATAACTTCAGAGATATGTCTACTGTCCAGTATGGTCCCTCCCAAGGTTTCTTCCTTCTAGGGAGTTTTTCCTTGCCACTGTCGCCTATGGCTTACTCACTGGGGGCTTTGGGTGGGGATGCTGTAAAGCGCTTTGGGACAATGTAATGTTGTGATAATGCGCTATACAAAAATAAATTTGTTGTTGTTGTTGTACTGTCTTGTGTTCATATTGCAATGCCCTCTACAGATAATATAAAACTAAACTGAAACCATAATTAAATTGAATTAAGTTATATTTAACGGGGCAAAGAGGAAATATAGAAGCATATTACATAACACTACTGCAGTTAAAAACATAATTTTGGTAGCCCCTTTTTCAACCTTTTTCCATTTCTATTTTTTTTTTCATTTTACACTGTGATATAACTTCTTCTTCGTCAGGTGATTCTTGCATAGTTTGGACTAATTTGGACTAATTACTCCTTAGCAATTTCAGAATGGCAGCCAACCCCTCCTGGGTGAAATGGAAGCAGCGGGATGTAGGTGAGCGACTTACCCAGCAAGATTACAATGCAGGCCAAGATGGCGATGAGGGCGCCCATGCTAAGTCCCGCTGGCAGGATGAAATGCTGTGCATTGCAGGAGAGGATGGTCTCCCTGGCATCACAGCTGCAAACTCGCAAGATCACAGTGCTGGTACTGCTCATGGGAGGGCTGCCGCTATCGCTGATTTTGATTGGCAGGTGGTAAACATCCTGGGTCGTCCGGCTGAAGTCCTTCCGGGTCACGTAGAGACTGGCGGTGCTGTCTGTGGTGAGAAACAGGGAGAGAGTGAAGGTATTTTACAGCATAACATGAAGGACACAGAGCAGTGAATCAAATGACATATGATAAATGCTTTTGGACAGACTCGAAACTCATGGAAGAATGTGAAATCTAAGGTTGAGAAAGACTGTTTTTTTTAGTTAATACAAGGACATTGCTAGAGGTGAAATAAAAAATAAATTAATAATTGTCAGTATTCTTTAGGGTCTTTCCAAAATGACGAGTTTTCTTAAAAGGGGCATAAATTACTGAAAATTTGCAATATATTTTGTCATTGATATGACATTATTCAAACTATTTTCAATAACTAAGGCTACTTTAAGGAAAGATTCTGTATTTAAGGTCTAAATTGTTACAAGGTGGAAAAGATTCCACCACATAAGATAAATAACTCCTTCCTGGGGTTATAATCTTTTTTCAGTTATGTCACGCATCATTTTTTTGTGGCCTTCACCTCAATCTTCTCATTTATATGAAGACACAAATTTAAAAAAAAATAACCAACATTGTTTCATATAATGTGAAATTAATCTTGTTTGAAACATGACTGACATGGCCGCTTTATTATTTAGAGGGTATGATGTGAATATATAAATAATTTACAATGTTTATATATCTCCCTTTTGAAATTGCTAAACAGGACGGGCATCCATTAGCCCTTCATTTCTGGGCTGCATGCTGCAGTACGACACTGTTGCCCACCCACTTCGGTTATCCTTGACAGTGAAGTTTTGTTTGCCGGTGACCTCTGGGGAAATGCTGAAGTGGAAATGTTGATGTGAGGCCATTTCATCCTTGTCCAAGGCACTGATGATCTCGATCATCTGAGATAAGGAGCAGAGTGGAAACATCATGACATCAAGTGTCTTCACATCCTTTTTGTTCCATGAAACCAAATAAATTGAAAGCATTTATGCACCATCCAGCCCTCGTTTTCTTATTTCCCTTGCATTCTTGGATATAATGTCTAAACTACAGCTTTTTCATTTATTTTACTTTTTATGTCGATATGTAATATAAAGAAAAAAAAATGTGTTTAAACGCTTGGCACAAGTACATAGTCTACACTAAGTAGCCAGTGTATTAGTTACATCTGTCTGATAAAGCAATTTTTAACATGTTTCTTGGTGCAATACACTACCAGCCAAAAACTTTTGCACATCACAGGTTTTTACCACTTTTCCATTTATTTCATAAACTGCAGATTATTTATTCTTGTTAAGCATTGGAAAGTTGAGTGAACAACAATAAATGAAAATATAAGTCAAATAAAACAAGTTTCCTTTATAACATGGAAAGAGTATGTAACAGGCATAGTCAAATTCTAGACTGTTCTTTAACTTTAAATGCACTAGTTAACTGCTTCATTCCTTGAAGCAGAGCAGTATTTGGTGTCCCTTGTAGAAAGAATGCCTTGAATTTTCTCTGCTGATATAATTGCTAGAGGAGGTAACTTTGATTAATCAAAGATATGACATTTTCTTTCTAATAAAGGTACACTGGTATCTCGGTTCTCGAACTCACTAGAACTCGAATTTCTTGAAACTCGAACAAACCAGTTTGACCTAGAACTCGATCTAAATATCAGAAGTCGAACCGGGACCGCTGACCTACAGTAATATAAATTGTACGTGCCAGGAAATGAGTCATACTACAATGCAATTCTTACTTGAATGCCGCCTTCACAGACTGGACGATTAACCAAATAAAGCAGCGCAACATTATAGTAACTAACAATAAATAAACCACTAACTTTCGTGTACTATTAGAGCATTTATGTCATTTATTTAAACTTTATTTTACCAGGTAAATTAACTGAAAACCAGTTCTCACTGCTTTAGGTGATATTCGGGAGAAATAGCAGATTACGTATCGGAACTGCCTGGGATACAAACGTCATGCGTGTAACTAAACTCTTCAGCCAATAAGGGCAAAGGTGTGTCGCGGTTCCAGTTTGTGCAGCCGGGTGAGAGGCCGCAATGCATCTAACCGTAATGCATTGCGTCAGGATCAGAATGCGTTGCTTTAAGCCAGCGCTGTAAGCAAGTCGAACGCACCCAATGGCCGGACTGGGGAAGCAAACTGAAACGCGGACTTAATACAGAGGACTAATGACAACAACCAGAAACACCTGATCACATGGGGATCCCACACGAGGTTAACGAGGGGGCGTGGCACAAGGAAGGAGCGGACGATCGGGGCAGGACAGGGGTAATGTTGGGATAAGATCTTTTTGGAAGCCATTAAGAAAATTGTTTTATCCTGTTCATTTTGTGTTTAAATGCTAAAAAAAAAAAAAAACATATTTAGGTGTAATTTAGGGGGGCCGGGAACCAATTAATTGGTTTTACATTATTTCTTATGGGAAAAATTCGATCAGAACTCGAACTTTTTAAGATTCGATCCAGATCCAGGGTTAAGTTCGAGAACCAAGGTACAACTGTACTGAAATGGTGAGCATACTGTGAATTTCTTTGTTAGCAAAGAATATTGATTGTATATTGATTGAGTAAATGTTAATTGAGCAAATGCAATTTGCTCATTTAAATCTCAGTGTGTGCAAAAACTTGACTTGTAGTGTACGTGCTGGTTCTAGCATCTCAGAAACAGGCATCTTCCTGGGATTTTCATGCACTTCACTGGATAGAGTTTACAAAGAATGGCATAATGAAGAAAAAGCAGTCAATGATATTTCTGTGGTTGACAAAATACTTTGTTAATGAGAGAGGTAGGAGGAGAGTGGTGAGACGTGTTAAACCAAATGTGAAGGTTAAAAGTACATCCTTGAAATGGTGGCAAAAGTAATTTCTGCCAGGTACTAGCTAGGTGTCCATAAATAAAGTATCTATATTATGGTTATATAAGATCACTCACATTTAGCACAAGCATTGTTTAGCTTCATTTTTTGCAGTTTCTGTTTGCTTTTACAGTAGTTGAATATGCACAGTAAAATACTTACTTTGCCATATGCTACATTTTCACACAAAAGAATTTCATTTTGTGAGGCCAGTTCAGGAGCATTATCATTCACGTCTCTTACTTTGATGTTGACACGCACTTTAGCATCCTGATGATGGCCACCTGTAGAGAGCAATAGTTAGGTACTGTGTTGTTTTTGCATTTTGGAATTTAAAAGATGCTGATTTATTTATCTTATAAATATAGCATTAAATTACCATTTATGGGGTGAAGGAGATACCACTGATATGTCTATTACATTGTTAAAAGAAATATGGAAAAATTGTTTATACTTATAATCCTGGCTACTATTGTTCCATTATGAATTTTTAGCATCAAGTTTTTATTGGTATGGGAACTGCTTTTTAAATCAAGAAACACAATAGAAGCAGACAATGTCAATCTGGACTTTACCAGTCAGATTGCGAACCTACCGATTTCAATGGCGCTTACAGAGATGTTGTGCCAAGGCAAAGATTCACGGTCCAGTGGCCTTGTTGTTCTGATAATTCCATATTCTGGGTCAATGCTGAAGAATCGTTCCAGGTCAGTGTAGCGGGGAATCATATACCTATAGAGGAAAGGAATCCACTGATGTTAACATGTCTCCCTTAACAATTCTAGCCAGTCATAGCCGTGATGGAGCTTTTTTTTGAGGCCTGAACTTTGTTGACGGATGCAAACTTATGATGGAATGATTGCAATGGGGTTCATACCTAATGGGTTTGTTGGCCATATCCGTGTCCTTGGCATGGACCCGCCCCACAATGGTCTCTTCTGGTGCATTCTCCTCCACCTCAAAGTTGTAGCCAGATGCAGTGAAGACTGGTGGCTCATCCTCGTCTTCCACTGTAACCTTCACGGTAGCCGTGTCTTTGAAGGGCCCCCAGGCGAAGAAATGTGGGTCCACATTCACATTGGATGCCTCCACCCGTAGGGTGTATGCTCGCTTGCTTTCAAAATCGACGGCCTGCCATCGGGCGAAAGACCAAACATTGACAAATCATTCACACCACATCAGTCACCATAACACGTTTCTCTGCAGGTTGTGTGTGTGTGTGTGTGTGTGTGTGTGTGTATATATATATATATATATATATAAAAACTTGAGAGAATGGGAGTACCTGTTACAAATAGATGGTTTAACACAATAAAACCCAGCCAGGAAAGTTGTTATGCTTCTGATGATCAGAAACTTTTCACGGTCACAGCAGAATTTAGCTGCAGAATAGTACAATCTATATATTACCCTAATTATGCCTAGGGAAGTCTGCTTTTACAACAGAATAATATTAATGCGTGTGAAAACAGACTATGGTAATTTTTTTTTTACATTTTCAACTACTGCAGTGAGGAGCCAGGGGGCGCTGTTGATATAGAATTTAACTGCGTGTGTGGCTTGCTCCAAAACAAACATCCTTTCATAGGTTTCTTGTTTTAAGACCGTCCACATACAACACATTATTCAGCCTTTCAAGAACTACATATATTGTCATGTGTGAATCATGAAAGGCCAAAATAAACTGCAACTACAAGGTCTGAGGAATCCTGAATATTCTTTAGGAAAAAAAGAGAAGAAAATATAGTTCTTTTACATCACTTGAATTTTCTTTTTAACAACAAATCCATCATCTATTGACCTTTTCTTTTGCCATTTTTTTTGTTGCAAATTTCAGAACCCCTCCTTCCCACTCCCTATATATATATATATATATATATATATATATATATATATATATAT